ATCAGCAGGAACATGCTGTCCTTGGGGGGCGGCGCCGCCTCCTCCGCCTCCGCCGACGTGATCGTGTGCGGCTTCTCCTTGGGCGCCAGCTTCTGGTTGAGGATGATCTGGCTGATCTGGTTGGGGCGCTTCGGGGACGCCGCCTTCTCCAGCCCCGCGCCGTTGAAGTTCGACATGGAGAAGTTGAGCACGCGCGGGCCCCCGTACTTCTTCACGCCGGGGGCGGGCGCCTTCGGCTTGGCCGGCTCGGGGGGGCGCGGCTTGGGCGCCGCCACCAGGGCGGGCGGGTTCTTGGGCGGCTCCTTGGCGGGCTCGGCCGCCTTGGCGGGCGGCTCCGCCTCCCGGTACAGGCCCTTCACCTTGAGGATGTCGCCCGCCTTGAGCACGGTGTTGAGGATGTCCTTGGAGACGGTCGCCTCCCCCGAGTACATGTACTTGACGAGGATCTTGAGCGCCTTGTAGGTGATGCCTGGGGGCGGGCGCGTTAGTGCAGGGGCCACGGGGCGGCGCCACCTACTCACCTTGCGGCAGCACCACCATGATTGGCAGGGCGGTGGTGACCTTGGGCTGGAACTTGAGCGCCTTGCACAGGTATTGGCTGGCGTAGGCCAATACGAAGCGATGCGCCATGATCTTGTGGCCGTCCATCGTAACCAAGGCGACGTCGGCGAACGAGTCCTCGGCGACTAGCGAGTTGGCGATGCACGCGTGAATGTAGCTGGTGTACGAGCTCCATTTCAGCTGGTAGTTTTCGCAGATTTCCGCCGGTGGGTCCATCGTCCTGCCGGAAGCGATGGAAGCTCAGTTTGCAGCTAGGGGGGCGCAGCCCCAGCGCCACTTACCCGATCGCAACAACAACAGCAACAACAGCGCAAAAACGGTCTTCACGGGCGGCTCAACGTCAACCGACTAGCGGCCGCCAATCGATAACATCGGAACATCGGCCCATTGATTTCCCCGACCAATCGTGGCGCGCGTTTATACTATCGATCGTCGGCCCTTAGGGCGGCGCGCGCAGCGCCCATCGATCTGCGCCCCCTTGGTGCCTTGGTGGCGCCTGGGCGGCGCATCCGCCATTGCGTCCACATTGACAGTTTGCACGGTTGTTTGCAGGTGACAGCGAGATTCTGACGTACTTCTTCGGCCCCATGGGCACCCTGATGGCCATCAACCTCGTGCTGTTCGCGCTGACAGCGCGCGAGCTCACCTGCGGCCTGTGGAAGCGCGAGCTCGTCAAGTCCACCACTGAAAGGTACGCACAGAGTTGCCAGTTTGCCTGCCCGCTAGTCGCGCATCGTCTATTTCATAACGTTTCGGCGAGACAACAGCGCCATCATCAGATTTAAAATTCATACAAACTCATAATTGGGAAACATTCGACTCTTTTAGGTCTTCGACGACCTAAAAGAGTCGAATGTTTCCCAATTATGAGTTTGTATGAATTTTAAATCTGATGATGGCGCTGTTGTCTCGCCGAAACGTTATGTGAAGATTTGTATTTTACATCTCGACTGAAACCCAGGAAAGAAAAAATATAATATAGATCGGATCAAGATTGGTGAATTTTTCAGATGGTCTTTCGGATTGCGAGGATCCGGAGTGCTGTTCAAGTGCTCCTTGCAAAAGTAGTCAGTTGTGTGTTTCGTCGCCCAAACCGATTGATATTCTGCTTAGGAAGCAACCGCCAGCGATCACTGCTTCGTTCTTTGAAAGAATGAAGTTCCTGATCGATGAGGGCAGCTTGCAGAACTACGCCAGACAAGAGACCTTTAACGAAAGGTATAATGCAAGATTTTTTTCTCGTTGTTTTCCATTGAATGGGGGAGAGTTTTTTAGCATTTTGAAGCATTTTCTATTTTCCATTGAAGCCAAAATGCTGAAAAGCACTCCCCACACTTAACAACAAACATTGTTTGTTTGTTTATGTATGTTTTCCTTGCAATCGATTTTATTCGTATAGACGCATTGTTGTGCCCCAGTCGAAAACACATCCTTTTATCGTAACTTCTGTAACAGTGTGTTCTCACTCTCTCACCTATAGTTATTGTGTGTCGTATTCTACAATGGAACCGTTTATTTACGCTCTTAAAAGCACCTGCCAGTTTATCAAAACCTTTTTGAAATTTCAATCAAGCGAACAATGATTTGCTGATGTTATTAATCGCATAAATAAATTGAGTGTTTTGGCAGTGTTGTTGCAAAATTTCCTTCAGCTATTAATCGTCGTGAATATTGAATGGAAGTATAATCAACACTTTGCGAACCGTTTTTCAATTGTTGTATGAATAATCGTGTGAAAATTGGAAAAGTCGATGATCCGATCCGATTTTTACCTGTTGTGCTATAGTAGTTATACACGATTTAATTGATTTTAAAATGCATTGGAATATTTCAATGGTGGATTGTTCCCATTAGTATTCACCAACTCTGAACAACATCTTCAGTTCAGTTGGAGAGCGGGAAGATGGCAAACAGTCTCAAACACCTTATTTTAACGAGAAGAAAATGAAGAATGAACTTTATTTACATTTTGTTCTTTCGGCGTTTGTTGTCAGGTTTACAAATTTATTTTTCTCAAATGCCTCTCGATTTCCTCAATAGAATTGAATGAGCGGTGGGGCGTCTGGTCAATAAGAAGAGTGGCTATCTGGCCGACTACATCTGATCTACGAGGGGATTATTACGCCTAGAGGCATAGCAGCAAATATTCCCCGTAGATACGCTGAAATAATATTTTCAACTAACTTTAGAGAGAAGATCTGCACATCTTAATCCAGATGGCACTAAATGAATTGTGAGCTTTTGTCGTTCGCCCAATCTCTACGAGGTTTTTCATTAGTTTAGTTTGCGAAACTTTTTGCAAAGTTTCAACTAGTTGACCTACATTTCTCATTTAGCACTATTGTGTTTTTGTTATTGAAACTCCAGATTCTACGTCGATTTTTCTTTATCTAAAAAGGGGTTTTTGAATTACAAAGATCACAACAACAAAGTTATCAGACCAAAGAATTTGAATTTAGGCGGTTTAAAACGCTATAAGAAGGTATAGAAATTATGGCGTTTCGTGACCCTCACATCACACCATCCCTTAGGATGAAATCACTTATTGCAAGCATTTCTCAAAAAAAATCACGTTAAGTTGACTTTTCTTCGAAATTCCATGATTTTCCACAAACAGTTTAGCGACTGACCAAAACTGACTCCGAGGGAGGGAGCGCTTTTTGCTTCCCCGCATTTTCCGCTAACTTATGTCAAGGCTATGTTTTCTTATCATTGGGTGAATATCTACTGACCTTTGTAGGAAAAAAAATATGTATTTTTAAATCTGGCGCTGTTTTCTGCAAAAACGTCTACTAAATTAGCAACTTTTTGCGCTTAAACTTGATTTTCTCGCGACATTGTTTCTCCTTGTTCTATCTTCAACAGCAAGCTCAATCGCAGTTGAGCCAACGACGCTCGGCATTTACGTGATGAACTGGTCGTTCCTCAATCTTCTAAACGCATATTACAAGAACCCAAAATTATAAATGAACAAATATTGAGAAACCTGACTAACCTATTGGCTTTTTTTATTTATGCTGCTCAGTGTCTTTTGGAACCACTTCAACACGAGGTAAGGCTTTTAGCCAAGTAAAACAGACGCACATCGTAGAGGACTGTAGAAGTATTTGAGTTTTACAGCGAATTACTATGGAACAAACTCACTTAACTTCAGAATTGCTGTTGCAACCAGTTGCTCCTGAGATTATCCCATAGTGTTCCACTCTGCTGTAATATTGTAATATTAGAGAACCAAACGAGATTTTGTTTATTTATTGTTTCTTTGGTGCCTGATCTGTTTGTCTCCTTTTATTTTTTCGTTTATACCCACTGTGTTCGTGTCGTTTCAGTTGGCTTCGTAATACTTCTAGTAGTTTGTTGTATGTGTGGCTCTTTTTTGTCTGTAGAACTTGGTTGCTTTGCAGCATTTTTAGCCTTCCAATGGGCCGATGAAAATGCTTGTCGCATTTTCAATATCAAGCACTGATTGATGTTTGCAATTTCTAGCCGTTCAGCTGTAGTACGGGGTCGCGTCGTCACGCAAATGGGCACTGGATTGATGGGAGTTCGTGTTAGTACCAGCACACCTTTGGAAGGATTCACCCTCACTCGAGACGACGGTTGGTTCGATCTTCTAGTGAATGGAGGAGGCGCGGTCACGCTCCAGTTCGGCCGATCACCATTCCGACCTCAAAGTGATATAGTGTTTATACCGTGGAACGAAGTGGTTATCATCGATAATGTGGTCATGAGCCTGGGCGAAGAAAAGGCCGTATCGGTCATTCCGCAACCTTGTGTTCCCCATGATTATGATATAATGAAGCCTGTAGTGCTGGCTACCTGGAAACATGGCTTTCAAGGCGCTTGTCCAGAGAAAAGTGCTATTTTGGCCGAATCCCAAGTCGTGCAAGAGAGTCTAGGTAAGTGAATATCAACTAAGCTTTATTTTTTAAATTAGCTATTCTAGTTTATTGACTGTATTCGAGTAAACGTTAGGAACTTTTTGTAACACCTCTGGTTAGGGATGATTCGATACAAGAAAATACAAGTAGGTATTCGATACTTTTGTTTCGATACCGAGTGCTTTGGTAATTGAATCGTTCTTTCGATTTTTCTGAAAGTACTCGTATCGCATCGTCGTAAATAATCAAATTATCAAAACTGTAAACCTACTTTCACAGTCAAGACTGTTGTCAATCGTCTTAACTGAACTGAAAATAGTGAAAATTGATAAACATCATTAAACGTGAGTTATGCCACCCTTACTGACCCAGCCTGACTTTTATATGGTACCTTATTACGACTAGATCAATATGCGTTATGACACCCTTACGTGAAGTGCCTCCTCTTAGACAGGGATTATTCGATATTATTATTATTCGATTATTACAAGTAAATACAAGTAGGACTTCCATTCTTTTGATTTCGATACCGAGTACTTTGGTAATTGATTCGTTCTTTCGTAACAAATACTTGGTATCGAATTATCAAAAGTGTAAACACTGCCCAAAGTCACAGAACATATATTTATGAAGATATAGGATATTTTGTGAAGTCTATTGAAGAACTTGAGTTGGATAT